TAACTCTTTATAACAATGACTTTATTCAGGCTTTTATTTACCCAAAGAAATGTTCAACATTAGTTTATTTACTCTGCAAATGCTTTTGTTAAGTAGTTAGTTAGGAAGGGCTCTCTTGGGAAGGAGGAGAAGGGGGAAGGAACCCCAGGCCTCTTATCTCGGTGCCCCCCACCTTAATTCTATCCCATGTAATTGCTCCCGTCTGGGGAGGAGAGAACGTCCTACCACTCAGAACTTAGTGTGCTAACTGCCAAAGGAGATAGAAGATTCTCCAGCCTACCAACAGATGCAATAGAGTCGTGAACTTGACCTAGAACAGACCTAAGACTAGTTATCCTGTAGTCCACCCCTCAGCGGGTTCTCAGAGAGGCTCATGAGGTCAGCATGTGCAGTAAGAGTCTGGTTCCAACTCTGAACCCCTGGGGAGGCCTGACCATGGATGTATAAAAAAGAAGCCCGGCCATAACATTTGCCTGTGTGCCTCTTTGCCTACCTGTCCTGGCAGTGGAGGCTGGTTCGCTATCTACGGCAAACATATCCTGCTTTGTAATTTTCTTACCTATAAGCCTGTCTTTCTCTTCCTCAGTGTACTTTGTTTCTCTTGCCTTCCTTTAAGGCAGCAGTCTCAACCTGTGAGTCGCAACCCACAGGAACTGTATTAAAAGGTTGCACATTAGGAAAGTTGAGAACCATTGCTTTAGGGTGTCTGGTCATTCCCAATAAGAGCACTCCAAGAACTCAGCATCCAGAAGCTACCTGAAACCCTGAGGGATTCAAGCTGTCTTGAAACCCAACATTTAACTAAGCAAATAGCAGAATTTATTTATTCATTTATTTATTCATTAATATTAGCTACTATGAGAAATTATTTATTTATGCATTCACTATTTATTGAATGCCTGCTGTCTTCTGTCTTTTACAGAAAATGAAGAGGCAGAATACATTATTCCTAACTTTAGGAGCTTTGTAGTCCATGAGAAAATGAAAGATTATATACAAAAATAGTTTAATTTCAGCATAGAAGATGCTAGATTTAGGTAATAAGCAAATAACAGAGATAGATCTGGATTGAAAAGAGGCATAAAGTGAGTGGGAGTAGCCATAAAAGGCTCTGAGAGAAGGTCAAGATCAGGGATAAAGAGAGACAAAGACTCCACAGTGAGAACTGGTTGAATTTGGTCCTGGGAGTATTTTTTGTGTTAAGTTCTATGATAAGTCTGTGCAAGAGAAAGAGAGGAGGAAATGTAAGAAACGATTAATTTTTTTATTATAATCCTCAAATAATCTGTAAGAAAGTCCTCTCCCTTTTCTCATTTCTACATTTTTTTTCTAATCTTCATAGAATGCAAAGTTCAGGGCCTCAGTTTAACAGGTTCACAATTGCTACCAATTTGTTTTTATTAAATCATAGCTGTGTACATTAATGCAATGCTATCAATTTTTAAATAGGGATCATAATACAAATCAAAAATGAGTTATTTTTTAATGTTTCTTACTCAAAATTATCTCTTCAATTGTAAAGATTCTGAAAAATATGTTTACCTTTAAAAAAAAATTTAAAATTGGCCACATATGTTTAAAGAAACCACAAATTGTTCTTTCAAAAAGACATTTTTTTAATAGGGTTTAATTTGTTTTGCATTTTTTCAGTCTTAATCATTTCAAATTCTTACTTTAATTGGTAAAAACAGTATTCAATATCCCATTCTTTCAGGTATTTCAACTCAATACAATCAATTCACTTTTAACAGAACCTAGAAAGTTTAAGCGTCTGATATTTGGAAGCAATTCAATTTTTACTACAAATAGACACCTTCATAACACCTGCTAAGCCAGGACATATGAATAAACATAAATGAGAACAAAAGACCTTCGCATTAGCTGCCCAAAGCAGTATCTTGAGAGTGGTGTGTTAGGATTCGTGTCGTGGTGCCATGCTAGAGAACCAGGGTTCAGAGAGGAGGATGGAGATCCTTACTAGATCCAAATAGATCCTTGTAAAGTTTTGCCTTAAGAAAATGACATCTCTTACTCTTGGAAAGTGAAGTGCACAGACAGATGAACCACATTTTCAACTAGTGAGTGCTACATTGTCTCTCTGGTGATATAGGGTAGTTCACATCTGACTTCAGAGTGCTCTGCTACTGTCTATGTTTACGTCATTTAGCTAAATCAACTAAAAAGACACTGGAAGTGAAGTTTGGATTTGATCCTTAAATATTCTTTTAAATTATCCCCTAAAAACATTTATACACTA